TATAGATGGCTTCTCATATATATATCTCAAGCCAGGTTCCTGGCACTACCACCAGTTCCATGTGAGAAGTATTAGTATCACATATTGGATCTGGGTATCACCTAGAAGTAGTGCAATACTAGAGACTGTCACCAGCCCTCTCACTTACTTCCCAAGGTATACTGATCTTGTATCTCAAGCCAGGCCTCTGCTACCACTGCTGGTTTGTCTTCTCCAGGTCTTAACATTTTTTAAATTATCTGGTACAGTTATATATCTTCTATCCCCTTATATACTCCCTTATATTGTATTCGCCAGGACCTTGATTCATGAGGACTTCTCAAGTTGTACAGCAACTACAAGGCTACATACTCCTAGCCAGTAGGATTTGGCCAGAGTGGCCCCCCAAAGTGCCAGTGATGTAAATGATCGATATAGTCGCAACTACAGCTAAATCAATTTCTACAAATCAGGTGATGGATACTAGATAGTGTAGCCGAATTGTGATACCAATAATCGAACAGTAAAAAGTTTTCATCACAGTCAAAGATCCTGATTTATAAAACTAACTTTCATATTGATTTACTAAACTAGAAAATTCATATTTGCTTTATTTTTTGCTTTAATTTAATATTTTAATAATTTATTTTTTAAATTTAATATTTTTACAAACTTTCGAAACGATACAATTAGATTACAGCAGAAATTATTGGTATAAATGAATCAATTATGTAGAAGTTGCTAAAATTTTTAAATTTTAAAGATATGAAAAGCTTATAACTATTTTTACCTTATACGATCTTGCTATTTTTTTACTTACTTTTCCTCATCATTTATTACACTTATGTCTCTATAGTTTGTCATAGTTTCTGTCCTTGGCTCTTCAGGATAGGGTAAATACATAAGGTATAGTTTTTTATTATTCTCCGGTTTCCAAGTTGCCTGTTTTCACTTTTGCTATTCTGTAGCTTAAATATCTTCCTCAATTTGCACTAGACGGCTCCAATTCATCATAATTATAACATGTAGCCAGTTATTTGCAGATCTTTCTAAACAGATTTGCTTGAATATCTGTATGAACAATTCTCAATTTGATTTAACATAGGTACAAGCTTCTTCATTTGGATCCTCATCTATATTAATTTTATAACTATCTGGTGAACTATTAGCAGCTGCTTCAACATTATGGGCTTTATTTGGATCTTCATCTATATTAATATCGTAACTATCTGGTGAACTAACAGCAGCTGCTTCAACGTCATGGGCTTGTGTAATGATTTGAACACCCGGTAATATAGTGTAGCTAATTTCAGGGTTTTTTAGAATAAGAAATGAGGATATTGTATGATGTTCAAACCTATCTCAGAGCAAACATCGCCTTTTTTTATCAGGTGTGTTCATGGTTTGTCATATCAAATATTTACATAATAGAAATCAATCTTTAAAGAACGCAGAACAACTACAGATCTATTAGATAATATTGGTAAAATATAAACTACCTGAGTTTGTTATTATGTCAATACTTCGCTTTCTTTTACCAGACCTGTTAGCACGTATCTCTGACCATTTTTCATCACTCGCGCCAGCATAAACTCATTCTTTCTTGAAATTATCCCATCAACTTGGTTCCACCCACCTGTTAAAATTTGTAAAAGCCTAATTTTTTTTATTTATTTGTTTTTAAATTTATTTATTTTTTATTTTTATTTTAATTTATATTATTTTATCTATTTTTTTGTGCTGGCACTATTTCTGTAATAAGCATCCACATTAAAAGATCTAAGCATGGTTGGTTAAAATGATACAAATAATATCGCTTTATTATACTCCAATGCATCTTTATTTTCATCATAGTTTTACCTTAATTAAGTTATTAAAATTGCTTATAAATAAAATAAAATTAAATATAATTTATTTCAATGTAAATAATAGATAAAATTACTATAAGGGATAGTCGGCTTAGTTGATCATGCCCAAAGGCCCCACTATTTCAATGAGTACCAATTATTCTCCAAATAAGCCCAGAGCAATTATAATTCATGCTTAACACAAAATTGATATATTTTTTCTACTGTATTCCGCCTAATAATTTCGGGTGTTGTCATATTTTTCTGGTATAGAGATAATAGTTTTAAAAATTAATTATTACATTTTGTATTAGTTTGTCTTATACTAATTAAACTATTTATTTTTATTTGTATCCAAAAATGCTGGTAAAATAAAATTAAAGACAGCAAACTGATTTTATCACAATTGGGTAAAATCTATAAAATTAAATTTATAACTATTTCTGTTTGTAGTTTTATAACTGGCAAATAGTACATAGCACCTTACACTACTCTAATTTAAAGATAAGAATAGAAGTGCAGGTGAATTGTCTTAATTATTGCTGTAACTATCTCTGTAACCATAAAATATAATAATAAGGTATGGCATATTTGTTTGCCATAACTCATTATAAATATTTTATAGTTACAGAGATAGTTATAGCAATAATTGAAGCAATTCATCTATATCACTAGGTAAGAAAAAACACACAAAAAAAAA